GCACCCGGCCATAACCCCTCTTAAACTGGACACCACTGGTCTCCCTGAAGAGGTCAGAGCAGTCACAAAGGTCTTTTCAGCACAAAAAAAAACCCTCTCTCCTGCCCAGGCTTCTTCTGCAAGGACAATGGTGATTATTGCCATTATTGAATGCTTCCTGTGGTACCAAGCCACCCTACTGAATCCTCACATTGACCCTATCAGGTAGGTGCTATTGCGGCCCATTTTTCAGAGGAGACCCTGAGGCTAATAAATGCTAGAGCCCATTTGATGCCAAGCTGGATTACTTTTCTGTAGAAAATATGCACAGCATGCACTCAATAACGAACTACTATTTGCTAATGGAAAACAAATCTGTTTGATTTAATCATGAACAGTCATTCAAAATTATTTTCCTGAACCAAAAAAGACTGATTGAACAAAGTTTCAGGATACAAAATCAGTGTTAAAAAATCAGTAGCATTTCTGTACACCAACAACATCCAAGTTGAGAACCAAATCATGAACACAATCCCATTCACAATGGCCACGACAAGAATAAAATATCTAGGAATACAGCTAACCAGAAAGGTGAAAGATCTCTATGATGAAAATTATAAAACACTGCATGAAGAAATCAGAGATGACACAAACAAATGGAAAAATATTCCGTGCTCAGCAATAATCAATATTGTTAAAATGGTCATACTGCCCAGAGGAATCTACAGATTCATGGCCATCCCTATCAAACTAATGGCATTTTTCACTAAATTAGGAAAAACTATTCTAAAGTTCATATGGAACAAAAAGAAAAAAAAAAAAAAGCCCAAATTGCAAAGCAATGCTAAGCAACAAGAACAAAGCTGGAGGCATCACATTACCTGACTTCAAACTATCCTATAAGGCTACAATAACCAAAACAGCATGGTACTGGTCCAAAAACAGACATAAAGACCAATGGGACAGAATAGAGAGCCCGGTAATAAAACCACATATTTACAACTGTCTGATCTTTGAAAAAGTTGACCAAAAAAACCAATGAGGAAAGGAGTCCCTGTTCAATAAATGGTGCTGGAATACTTGGCTAGCTATCTGCAGAAGAGATTGCAGCTGGACCCCTTCCTTACCCCACATACAAAAATCAACTCAAGATGGATTAAAGACTTAAATATAAAGCCTAAAACTTGTAAAAACCCTGGAAGGTAACCTAGGAAATACCATTCTGGACATGGACCCTGGCAAAGATTTCATAATGAAGATGTCAAAAGCAAATTGTAACAAAAACAAAAATTGACAAATGGGACCTAATTAAACTAAAGAGCTTCTGCACAGCAAAAGAAACTATCAACCAGAGTAAACAGAAAACCTACAGAATGGGAGAAAATATTCACAAACTATGCATCTGACAAATGTCTAGTATCCAGAATCTATAAGGAGCTTAAATTAACAAACAAAACAATAAACAGTTCCATTAAAAAAGTGGGCAAAGGACATGAACAGACACTTCTCAAAAGAAGACATGCATGTGGCCAATAAAGCATATACAAAAATTCTCAACATCACTAATCATTAGAGAAATGCAAATCCAAACCACAATGAGAGCATCCACACCAGTCAGGATGGCTATTATTAATAAGTCAAAAAATAACAGATGCTGGCAAGGCTGTAGAGAAAAGGGAACACTTATACACCTCTGGTAGGAATGTAAATTAGTTCAGCCATTGTGGAAAGCAGTATGGCGATTTCTCAAAGAAATTAAAACAGAATTACCATTCAACCCAGCAATCCCATTACTGAGTATATACCCAAAGCAATATAAACTGTTCTATCATAAAGACATATGCATGTATCGGCCGGGCGCGGTGGCTCAAGCCTGTAATCCCAGCATTTTGGGAGGCCGAGATGGGTGGATCACGAGGTCAGGAGATCGAGACCATCCTGGCTAACACGGTGAAACCCCGTCTCTACTAACAATACAAAAAAACACTAGCTGGGCGAGGTGGCGGGCGCCTGTAGTCCCAGCTACTCAGGAGGCTGAGGCAGGAGAATGGCGTAAACCCGGGAGGCGGAGCTTGCAGTGAGCTGAGATCTGGCCACTGCACTCCAGCCTGGGCGACAGAGCGAGACTCCGTCTCAAAAAAAAAAAAAAAAAAAAAAAAGACATATGCATGTATATATTCATTGCATGCGTATATATATTCATCGCAGCACTATTCATAATTACAAAGTCATGGAATCAACCTAAATGCCCATCAACGGTAGCCTGAATAAAGAAAATGTGGTACATATACATCATAGAATACTACTCAGCCATAAAAAAGAGTGAGATCATGTCCTTCGCAGCAACATGGATGGAGCTGGAAGCCATGATCCGAAATGAGCTAACGGAGGAACAGAAAACCAACTACCACATACCCTCACTTATAAGTGGGAGCTGAACATTGAGCACCCGTGGACACAAAGAAGGGAACAACAGACACCAGGGCCTACGTGTGGGTAGATGATGGGAGGAGGGAAAGGATAGAAAAACGACCTATTGGGTACTATGTTTATTACCTGGGTGATGAAATAATCTGTACAGCAAATCCCCGTGACATGCAATGAACCTATACAACAACTCTGCACATGTACCCCTAAACCTAAAATAAACATTAAAAATAAATATTTCTTAAAAAAGACTAATTGTACTGGTCAATCCTCCTAATGTCATGGCTTGGAAGGATATACATATTCAGAGTGTATCTATAACCCAAATTGTGTTTCTCTTCCAAAATATATAACAGAAGCTGTCCAAACATGTATTAACTAACTGTCAAAACAAAACAGATCATTTTATTTGAAGCTACAAAAAGACTGGAGTATTGGCAGGTACTCAGAGATAATGGTGATCACGCTCGCCACGTCATAGTGGCATTATACATTTGCTATGACACCTTCTCCACATACCTGGGTGCTTCCTGAGGTCAGGGACTGACTTAAACCCTTAGACTTAGTCCCTTAGACTCACTTAGACCTTGGTACCATGCTAAATTTGTTGAAATAGTAAATAATACATGAATGCACTTTCTAGTTTTTTGGTTTTTTTTTTTTTTTTTTTGGAGACGGGGTTTAAGCCTGTTGCCCAGGCTAGAGTGCAATGGTGCAATCTTGGCTCACTGAAACCTCTGCCTCCCGGGTTCAAGCAATTCTCCTCCCTCAGCCTCCCTAGTAGCTGGGACTACAGGTGCACACCACCACGCCTGGCTAATTTTGTATTTTTCGTAGAGATGGGGTTTCTCCATGTTGGTCAGGCTGGTCTCGAACTCCCAAACTCAGGTGATCCACCCATCTAGGCCTCCGAAAGTGCTGGGATAACAGGTGTGAGCCACCATGCCCGGCTGATTCTAGTTTCTTTTAATTTATTTTATGTAGAGATGGGTTCTCACTATGTTGCCCAGGCTGGTCTCAAACTCCTGACCTCAAGGATCCTCCCACCTCAGACTCCCAAAGTGCTGGGATTACAGGTGTGAGACACCACACCTGGCTATGAATGCACTTAAAATCTAACAATTATGTGTGCTTGGCCGGGCGCGGTGGCTCAAGCCTGTAATCCCAGCACTTTGGGAGGCCGAGACGGGCGGATCACGAGGTCAGGAGATCGAGACCATCCTGGCTAACACGGTGAAACCCCGTCTCTATTAAGAAATACAAAAAACTAGCCGGGCGAGGCGGCGGGCGCCTGTAGTCCCAGCTACTCGGGAGGCTGAGGCTGGAGAATGGCGTGAACCCGGGAGGCGGAGCTTGCAGTGAGCTGAGATCCGGCCACTGCACTCCAGCCTGGGTGACAGAGCGAGACTCCGTCTCAAAAAAAAAAAAACAAAAAAAAAACCAAAAAAAACAATTATGTGTGCTTAACCTTCATCTCTCAGCAACTGTAGGCGGTGAATATTTTCAAGATCCTCTTTTTCATAGGAGGAGACTAACGCTGAAGGAGATGAAGTGACCAGCCCTGGGTCACCTCCTGGTAAACTGTGGTGCCAGGCTTTGGACTCAAGTCTCATGCTTGAAACTCCAGCTGTCACACTTTTTAACATTTTTACCAGGTAAAAGTGGATTGGGAACTCCAGATGCCAAATGTGGCCTGATATCTACCATTTCCGAACTGTCTTAATATTAAGCAGAATTAAATATAGGGAATTGGGCTGGGTTCGGTGGCTCACGCCTGTAATCCTAGCACTTTGGGAGGCCGAGGGAGTGGATTGCTTGAGCTCAGGAATTTGAGACAAGTCTGGGCAACATGGTGGAACCATGTCTCTACTAAAATACAAAAAATTAGCCGGGCGTGGTGCCTGTCTGTAATACCAGGCTGAGGCACAAGAATTGCTTGAACCCGGGAGGCAGAGGTTGCAGTAAGTCGAGACGGCACCACTGCACTCCAGCCTGGGAGACAGAGTAAGACTCTGTCTCCAAAAAAAAAAAAAAAAAAAAAGAAAAAAAAAAACAATTAAACACAGAAAATTGCATCCCATAAGCCTTTAATGTACACGGACTCAGTCATGTATGTTTGTGAAGAGAAAGTAAGAATAATATAATAAGGACAGGCAGTTTGCTTCTGCAGGCTGTGGAGTGGGAGCATGTCCAGGGTGAGGTTAAGGTGGCAGCTGCAGATGGCTGATCCTCCACCAGCCTCAGGAATCACCAGCTTCTTTTCCCATGTGGCCCTTTGCTGCCCTGAGTAGGAGTCCAGTGTTTATACATGTTTTTACAATATTGAAAGATTAACATTTCCCCTACAATTTGACCTCTAAATACAAGGAAACGGCTTCATCTGGTTCCCAACCAAATAATAACGTGGAATCAACTGGCTGGGCAGGACTTACTGTATTGAGAGATGATCTATGGATGGCCAGTGTAGCTGCTTCCCATGGGACTTGTGAGGGAATTTTGGGATATATGTAACTGTATTAGGGTTCTCTAGCGGGACAACACTAATAGGATAGATGTGTATATAAAGGGGAGTTTATTAAGGAGTATTGACTCACACGATCACAAGGTGAAGTCCCACAATAGGCCGTCTGCAAGCTGAGGAGCCAGGAAGTCAGTCCGAGTCCCAAAACTTCAAAAGTAGGGAAGCCGTCAGGGCAACCTTCAGTCTGTGGCCGAAGGCCTGAGAGCCCCTGGCAAACCACTGGTGCAAGTCCAAGAGTCCAAAAGCAGAAGAACTTGGAGTCCGATGTTCCAGGGCAGGAAGCATCCAGCACAGGAGAAAGATGAGGCTGGAAGACTCAGCCAGTCTAGTGCTTCCATGTTCTTCTGGCTGCTTTAATCCTAGCCGTGCTGGCAGCTGATTAGACGGCGCCCACCCAGTTTGAGGGTGGGTCTGCCTCTCCCAGTCAGATGTTAACAGACACACCCAGGAATAATGCTTTGCATCCTTCACTCCAGTCAAGTTGAGAATTCATATTAACCATCACAATGACCATCGCCAAAAATCACCATGCTGATTTTTGATCCCAAGGTATACCTGAGAAGTATTGGGGAAACATCAAAACCAGACACAAATTAAAATACAAAAGAAAGAAAACTTTGACATTTTTTTGAGTGCTAGACATTCTTCTGAGAAGTTCCTGTATACTAGCTCATTTAGTCATCAGAACATGACTATTAGGTAGGTACTATCATGATCCTTCCCATTTCACAGATGAAGCAACTGAGGGACAGAGAGATTCAGGAACTTGCCCAAGGACCTGGCTGGAGTGACAGAACCATGATTTGAATGCAGATAGACTAGGCCTACCACACTAAACCACATTCCTATCTCCCCAACCAGACAGTGATCTCCAGGAAACTTGAATTAGGGTTCCTCATCTTTTAATCTTCCCCAGGTCTGGCCCTGTCCTGTGATCACTGGGAATTCAATAAAGGCTCTTTTCAACTTGAATTGACTTCTTCGGTTGTTGACTATCCTTTAAAACATTTTGACAGAGGAAAAAGAACAACTGCCCAGGAACTCAGCATTTGGAGGCAATCTATAGCTTCTTAAACACAGCAAAAGGAGTGGAAATAGGATAGTAAAATGAAATATAAATAGCTTCACCATTATCCATAGAACCCACTATGAAGCATAACAGTGGCTGGTCTCTCTCACTCTCTCTAAAATACAACCTCTTTGCAATGTTTTGTTTTTGTTACTGTTTCTGTTCAGGTAAAAGGATTACAAATAAAGGGTTAAACATTTTAGTGAGAATTGTATTAATTGGGCCAGAGGTTGAATGTAGGCCTATATTTGTCCTAACACTGAAAAATGTTTTGCAAAGCCGTATCATGTATTCGAGGTAGCAGGGGAAAGGCTTAGCCTACTCAAGACAATTGGTTTTGTTTGTTTGTTTTTTGTTTTTGAGACAGAGTCTCACTCTGTCACCCAGGCAGGAGTGCAGTGGCGTGATCTTAGATTGCTGCAACCTCCACCCCCAGGGTTCCAGCAATTCTCCTGCCTCAGCCTCCCCAGTAGCTGGGACTACAGGCATGTGCCACCACGCCCAGCCAAGACAACTGTTTTCAAGCAAGTTGACAACCACTTTGCCAGAGTTCCTTTAATGAGCTAATTACAAAGGGCTCTTAGGTGTCCTCTGAAGCCAGTTCTGGAGGAGCTCCACTTAAGAGACACTGAATGAGTCATTAGCACCTGAAATACTATACACACTGTTGGCTCTTGGAACATGTAATGGAATTAATGTTTTTGCCACTTCAGACTGATCTTCTGTAGTAGTCAGGGAGTTTTCAGTTGTAAGCAACAGAAAACCAATTCAAATTGGCTTACACAGAGAGGAGTGTGTGCGAGCATTAGGCATGGCTGAATCTCTGTGCTTGAAGGCTATCAGCAGGAATCTGACTGTGTCCATTTCTTGGCTTTTCTTCCTTTGTGTTTGTTCCATTCTTAAGCAGGCTTTCTCTAAATGGTGTTAACACTGTTTCTAGCAGTTTCAGCCTCATATGCCATCACCTAGCACCCCAGTGGAAAGACAGCATCTACTTGCCAATAATTCTAGCAAAAATCCCAGGGCTAGGATTCCTTGACTCTGATTGCCTTAGCTTGGATTACATGTCCACCCTTGAGCCAATCCTGGGGGCCAGAACAATGTAATAGTCTTATTGGTCAGAACTGAGTCAAACCAAGACATGAGTGGGCCCCACTGAATCACATGGTTCTAGATGGAAGGCGGTAGTTTCCCAGATAAATATCCAGGTTCAGATGCCAGATGATGGGGATGGGAGGTAAGGGGGATTGGAGACCGGGCAGGCAAAACTAATGAACGTCCCTGGAGCCTTCCCCCTAAATAATTTCCAACAAGCCAGGTGTTACCAGTCTGAAGGACTTCATATGGTTTATAAGCAAAACTTAGATATTTGCTCAGATATCTGAGGTTTAAAACATGGCCTATATTGGCTACAACATTTTGGAAATATTTTCTGCAAATTGTACTCACCCACATGGCTTGAAGTTTGGGGGTTTTCCTTTTTTCTTTTATTAAATAAAAAATTTTTTTTTTAATTCTTGGAACAAGTCCTTAAGAAAAAGAGGAACAGAAATGCCACAACATGATTTGAAACAGACGACTCTGAGAGCAAAATTTGCGTGGCAAATTAGCACACAGTTGACATTCCTTCTGTCCTGATGGCATTTCTGATGTTGAATAATATTCTTGGGATTTCTCTCTAAACTATTATGCCTTTTATTTTTTATGTTAATGACTTTGTTCCTAATTACAATAGCAATACCTGCCTAATTCAGAAAGAATTGAATGTATCAAGAAAGTATCCACAGTGAGCTAACACACACACACACACACACACACACACACACACACACACACACAGTTCATTGCCCACCATTCTCGTTAGGAACATCTGTTTAATAAGCGTCATGCCCTAGGTGTTAGATAGTCCCTGTCCTAGTCCCATTTCACAGATGGGGAAGCTGAGGCTCACAGTATTCAAGCTGATAAGTAGCGGGGCTAAGAATTCAACTCTTATCTGTCTGAGCACAAAGCCTTGGCCTTAATCGCTATATTATTCCTGCACTCTATCCTGTTGCCCAAATATTTTCAAAACTAACCTTACAGAAATGGTGTATTGTTCATAATGTTTTATAGCTTGCTCTTTTTTTTTTTTTTGAGATGGAGTCTCACTGTGTCACCCAGGCTGGAGTGCAGTGGCATGATCTTAGCTCACTGCAAGCTCCGCCTCCGGGGTTCAGCAATTATCTGCCTCAGCCTCCCAAGTAGCTGGGATTACAGGCGCCTGCCGCCATGCTCGGCTAATTTTTTGTAGTTTTAGTAGAGACGGGGTTTCACTATCTCGGCCAGACTAGTCTTGAACTCCTGACCTCGTGATCCACCCACCTTGGTCTCCCAAAGTGTTGGGATTACAGGCGTGAGCCACTGTGCCTGGCCAGCTTGCTTTTTAAAATACCACATTTTCTCATGTCATTTAATACTCTTTCACATAATTTCTTTTGGATTGCACTGCGTCTATCACATGGACGTGCCATCATTTACTTAGCTAATCCTCAATTATTGGACATTTAGGTTGCTCCTAATTTTGAAAAATGTATTTGTTTATTTATTTATTTTTGAGATGGCATCTCACTCTGTTGCCCCAGGCTGGAGGGCAGTGGTGCTATCTCAGCTCACTGCAACTTCTGCCTCCCAGGTTCAAGCAATTATCGTGCTTCAGCCTCCAGAGTAGCTGGAACTACAGGTGTGTGCCACCACACCCAGCTAAATTTGTATTTTTAGTAGAGACAGGGTTTCACCATGTTGGCCAGGCTGGTTTCCAACTCCTGACCTCAAGTGATCCACCTGCTTCAGCCTCCCAAAGTGATGGGATTACAGTCGTGAGCCACTGAGCCTGGCCTAATTTCTTTAGTAATATATATACACATGATAGACACATACATACTATATATATACACATACATATACAATATATATACATACACATATATATATACACATATATACATATATACACACATATATACACATATATATACATATATATACACATATATATGGGTTTTTTTTTTTTAGATGGAATCTCGCTCTGTTGCCCAGCCTGGAGTACAGTAATGTGATCTCAGCTCACTGTAACCTCAGCCTCCTGGGTTCAAGTGATTCTCCTGCCTCAGCTTCCTGAGTAGCTGGGATTACAGGCGCGCACCACCACACCTGGTTAACTTTTGTATTTTTAGTAGAGACGGGGTTTCACCGTTTTGGTCAGACTGGTCTCAAACTCTTGCCTCGTGATCCACCTGCCTTGGACTCCCAAAGTGCTGGGATTACAGGCGTGAGCCACCACACCTGGCTTAGTATTATATTAATGCTGCAGTGAACCACCTTGGAGAAATATTTCCCCATACAACTCTGATTATGTCCTTAGGACAAATTCCTAGAATTACTGGATCAAAAAGATTTTGTATATTCAGTGTTTAATAGCTATTGCCAAATTGTTCTTTAGAAAGGCAGACCCAATGTGCAATCCTAAGATAACTTCCCTCCCTCCCTCCTTCCTTCCTTCCTTCCTTCCTTCCTTCCTTCCTTCCTTCCATTCTCTTTCTTGAGACAAGTTCTCGCTATACTGCCAAGTTGGCTTTGAACTCCCATCTCAGGAGATCCTCTCATCTCAGCCTCCTGAGTAGCTGGGACTCCAGGCGTGCACCACTGTGCCTGGTGAACCTGTGAGTTTCTACTTTCCCACTCGGGCCCATTATACCTCTTCTTCAGAGATGACTAATCATGAGCTAATTGTGCGTCTCATCTCCTGCAATGGGGAATAGAGTCCCTTTCAACATATAAATCATTCAGTAGTATTCAAATGGCTTAATGCAAATGCAATGGTTAAAAAAAAAAATTGCTCAGTGATAATTTGCATCCCAACCATCACCACTGTCTGTATTAGGAGAGTTTATAATCATTTTTCCCCAACCTTTGTGACTGAAACAATGTCCTGGGTATAGGATTATAGCCAGCACCATCAAGGTAACTCTGGGTATGGGCCGGGCACAGTGGCTCACGCCTGTAATCCCAGCACTTTGGGAGTCCACGGTGGGCGGATCAAGAGGTCAGGAGATCGAGACCGTCCTGGCTAACATGGTGAAACCCCGTCTCTACTAAAAATGCAAAAAAATTAGCCAGGCGTGGAGGCGGACACCTGTAGTTCCAGCTACTTTGGAGGCTGAGGCAGGAGAATGGCATGGACGCTTGCACTCAGGAGGCTGAGGCAGGAGAATGGAGGTGGCGCTTGCAGTGAGCCGAGTTCGCGCCACTGCACTCCAGCCTGGGCAACAGAGCAAGACTCTGTCTCAAAAAAAAAAAAAAAAAAAGTAACTCTGGGTATGAATCTGTTGCTAGTGGGAGAGATGCGCTGGCTTCAGTGAAGGGTGATGATGTGGCTAATCTGCTGCAGCGACCTTCTGACTGTAGGTGGTTATGTTGACATCCCTGCCTGTGGTGCTCTGCTTTGAGGAGCCATGGTCAGCTGTTTTCTGTCTAATTGGACTGGGCTCATGACCTACCGTGTAGTCAGACTCAAAACACAAGAGAATCAGAACTCTCTGAGAAATTTATTTATTAATTCACTTACTTTTGAGACAGAGTCTCGCTCTCTCACCCAGGCTGGAGTGCAGTGGCATGGTCATAGCTCATGGAAGCCTCAACCTCCTGGGCCCAATTGACTTTCCCACCTTAACCTCTCGAGTAGCCAGGACCACAGACGTGTGCCACCACGCCTGGCTAATTTTTGTATATTTTTTATTTTTTTGTAGAGACGGAGTTTCAACATGTTACCCAGGCTGGTCTTGAACTCCTGGCCTCAAGTGATCTGCCTGCCTTAGCCTCAGCCTCTCAAAGTGCTGGGATTACAGACGTGAGCCACAATACCTGGCCTCTTTCAGAAATTTAAACTTGAAGAACTGAAACAATTGAAGGCAAGCAAAGGGTAGCTGAATCCAGCAGTGGAAAGGGGAAAATCGAAGGGCAGATTCCGTAGTCCAAGAGTTCGTGACTCTATGTCAAGCACAGGCTTGGCACGCTGTTGATGTTCAATACGTATTTGTTATTGAATGAATGAGCGGAAGGATTTGATGATAGCCGACCTCTCTCTTCTTTCTGCGTCCAGGGTGCCTCCCCCTTCTGGTAACAGCATCCCCATTCCTTTGGGA